TTTGTCCTCAAGTTATCGTGCGGACAGGCAGACGTGCTAACAGACAGTCAGGGAAAGTTTTTTTTTATGACCAGACGGTGTAAAAGGCTTCGCTAATTGCTCAACCAATTATACGGCAGCAAACTTTCCTTAGAGTCCTGACTGACGCTGCGGTCGCGTTTGGCCACTCTGCTGGAGGGACTGGGACTCAGCGGATGTTTGCTGCGGTGGCATCACTTGTGGGCGTCTCAGCAGGCTCAGTCACGACGGCTGTGTGGGTAGAGGGCCTGCTCGGGTGGCGGTTACACACCGCGCATGAAACAAAGAATCATTATTTTGATCAAAGGGTAAGTCGACAACAAAAACTGTAGAAACGCGGCTTTTAGCGGATTAATGTCGATAATAATAGATGCTTGAATCAAACATGGGCGAGGGGTTTCGCGTGCGATTACAACCTTGCGGGACCAGGCTTCCTATCCCACTTGGGCACCAGAGCAGCTCTACCTAGGCTGCGGTCGGCATGGATCGGGGGCGGCATTCGGGTCCCGGCTCCCGGCGGACGAGTGGCCCTCCTGTGAGAGGTGCGCAGAGCTGTCGAGCAGCAGCCAATCGCCAATCAAAGCGGCTGAGAGTTCCCTGGGCGCTGCGAGTCCCGAAATCGACATGTGCGAGGCTAGGGGACTAGGGGCAGACGAGCAGCCATAACCTCCTGCCCTCCACCAAGAGTTTCGAGATATTAATTTCTCTCGCAATTCTCTTTGCACCGCCGCGGGACATGACTCATTTTAAAATTTTAGGCTTGCAGGAGCTCATAAACTTTAAAACTAGCCCGCTCTAAGCCAAAATCTTTTGATGAAAACGATTAATAAGAGCGAAGTAGGTGCGCAACTTCTATTTCTAGTCTCACTCAGGGTGTCTCCTGCTCGATGGAACTCTAACGGCCAGCTCTGCGCACCTCTCACAGGAGGGCCACTAGGACGGACGGCCGACGCCGCGCACGTGGGGACAAGCAGGGCTCGAAGATGCAGCCGAATGCTGCCGAGCGGAGCCTAGGCCTAGGCAAAGCCGAACTGGTACCCAAGTGGGCTGGGGAGGCCGGAGGAGGCAGGGCCAGGAGAGATTGTAAACGCGCTACGGTGGGGATGGGGCTTGGCAGGACCATTTACTTCTTGGTCCAAGAGTAGACGTGCGCAGTGCCGACCTTAATGTGCACTTTGAAAAACCGCGAAAGTGGCAGTCGCCATTCTCATTGTGTCCAGTTACACCACCTCTCACCATATCACAATGAACAATGTCACTGATCTCCTACCCTCTCCTCGCTGTGTTCAGTCGATACGAGACGCTTGGCTCGGCGTGCTGGTGACGACAATTGCGGTACCCACGTTAGCCTCGCTTTGGGTGGTGGTCGTCGCTCCACTCTGGGCGGAAACTGCCACCTTCCCTCACATCTTTACTCATGGTTATTCAGTGGCTGTGCTCTCCTTAACAGCCTCGGTGCACACCGTAGTACTTGGCGACCACACGAGGCGCGCCCGCCGATTTCACGCGCGGCTGCAGCGGGTAAGACCACGTTGTGGAAGCGAAACTAAACTGATTGGTAAACACATGACTTTGAAAAAACAAGCAGGCCCGCCCTTCCGCCAAACGAAGTTGCCAGCTTCGCTTCGCTGCGCCGGCAACTCCGTTCGGCAGGGGCCGGGCCTGCTTGGCCTGCCGGCGGCGATGGTCGGGCCTGCGGCCCGACCATTTCTGTGACGCGATTTGCTGTAGAACATAATCTAACGATGTAA